GATGATGTTTGCTTCGTAGAATGTGTTTGGAAGCTTTGCTTCTGCTTCAATCTTTTGGAATTAAATGTTATTACTTTCTTTTCAATAATTATAAATTTTATCTTTCCGTATCTTCCCACATTGATCAGAACTTTGAGAATCATGTTATCATATATAGGGAACTCATGTTTTATTTATGATTTCAGTTTGAATGCCTGTAGTATTTCACTGTTAAGAATAATTTGGCTGTTAGTTTATGATATTCTTAAAAGTCTTTTAATTGTAGAAACTAACACATGTACAGAAAAGTGAATAAAACACCAAAGTCCAGGTTAACAATTTATTATAAAGTAGGTACCAATATCTCACATTAAGTATGGTGTTTGCTCAGGTCCTTGATAGACAATTTCTACCAGATAAAAGCAGTTTTCTTATTTTGCTAAGAGTTTTTAAAAGAGTTTTTTAAAAAAAACTCAGGAATGGGTGTTGAATTCTATCAAATACATTTCTCTGCTTCTACTGAGGTGATAATATGATTTTTTCCCTTTACTCTGTTAATGTGGCATATTATACTTATTGATTTTCTAATGCTAAAACAATTTTACATTCTTGGCATAAACCCAACTTGATGATAATGTATTATCCTTTTTGTATATTACGGGATTCAGTTTGCTGATTTTTTGTTTCAGACTTTTGCATTTATGTTCATTTATTTGCTTATAGTACGTCTTTCTTGCACTAGTCTTGTAGGGTTTTGGCATACAGATTATGCTAGTCTCATTAAATGGATTTGGGATTGCATCTGCTTTTCCTATACTCAGGAAAATTTGTGTAAGATAGACATTATTTCTTTCTTAACTGTTTGGTAGATATCTCCATGGAAGCTGTAGAGGCTTGGAGTTTTCTTCTGGGGAAGTTTCAGAGATTTAAAAAAAAATTTTTTTGGCAGCTGGCTGGTATGGGGATCTGAACCCTTGATCTTGGTGTTGCAACACCACGTTTTAACCAACCGAGTTAACTGGACAGCCCTCTTTTGGGGAAGTTTTCTTTCTTTCTTTCTTTCTTTTTTTGGTGGCTGGCCGGTCCAGATAT